ATATATATATATATATATATATATATATATATATATATATATATATACACACATCTACATGTATATTAAAAACAAATATTTTGTCACGCTATATAATATGAATCAATCTTATAAAATTTTACAACTTTTTAACGATTCACATTATAATTAAATTATCATGTGAAACACTTGGAAGCTTACCAACATGTATGTCACATAGCGAAACTCATTAACTTATTTAACCAAAAATAGCTTCCTAAAAAGAAATAGTATTAAAGGAATAGCAGTCAAAAGCTGAAACAATGGAATAAACAACATGTCTATTAAATAATAAGTTTCTGTAAAATGCCGGTGAAATTCACAGCTATATTAGATATTCGTAAAAAAGCTCTTTTTTAAGTCTGTGAATTAATTTGAACTGCACATTTCAAAAGAATTCTTATATTTATCAAAAATATATGCTTGCAATATATGCATACAAAAATATTAACTTGATGTTAAAGTGCATTAAAAATTTTAATTTTATTTACTATATTAACTCTTGTATTTTTTAAGTTTTAAATTTTTCTTATAAAGTACATATTCAAAGAGTATTAATCCGCTAGTATACACTAATAAAATTATAGGGACAGATTTAAATGCTGCATTGCTTTATTATACAATTTAAATATGCTGTATCAGATATAGATGGAGTATCCTATGGCATTCTTTCCGACTAGAAAATTTACCAACTCGACCGTATATCCGATGATTGCCAAGCTGCTATATCTATGCAGTATGCAGCTGTGTATATTACGGAGCTCCGTTACTATGAAATACACTACGAACATCCACCAGTAAACACATTCAAAAATAATATTAAATGTAATATAAAACGGAAAAATTGCTTATTTATTGTAATTTATGGTCTTATTCTTCATCTGATTCATAATCTCAAGACAAACATTCACAGTAAATGTGTGTTGAGCAACGTTAGCAAGGCAATAAGATATTGATTCGATGAATGTAATTTATACTAATAATTTATATAATAATCAGTTAGAATGTTAGAAATTTAATTTTAATGATAGAATCTTTCCTTAATAAATCTGACTGATGTCTTCCGTATTAATGTAACATCCGCAGAGAGATAACACATACACAAACACATACTAGGAAATCCAACGATTAATATTATTTTTCTCGTACCAAAATCATGTATTCCAAATTTCATTTATTTACTCATAAATAAAATCATATTTATATAATTAATTAATTATACATTCATTAACTCTCCTTTCATTTCTAGTTCGAAGATTACAGTTGGTCCCATGGCGTAAAAGAGATTATCTATTATAATAGACTCTCTGATCAAAAAAGGACCACCGAGCGAACGTCCAAACAAACAGATTAATAGCAACTTGAACGGTCGTTTACCTAATTTTCAGATCTGCGAGTTCGTTTGACCCCGTTCTTACGCCACGAGGCGTCTGACTTCGGGGAAATAGAATAGTTCTTGTGCTTTTCCATTCTTTCTCGGAACAAGTATGGACGTAACAAGTATTTAGATATTGTTTTGGCAGTTATAGCGGCATCCTGCGGGTAAACTTTTGCCAGCATTTCATTTGGTACGTAATGAGTGTTTTCGAATTTAGAAAAATAATAACCTATTTCGTCATTATTGATCCATTTCGGCATTGTTAAGGTTACAGCACCTAAAATAAAAAACACAAATAAAAAATAAATTAATATAAAATAAATATATAATAAATGAAATAATATAATAAAAAATAACATAACTGAAATAAATAAAAAAATTAAAATCAAACTCCAAATAAAAAGGCAAAAGAGCCACGCGCAGTTTTTTGGGCGCAAAGGTATATAATTTTAAACCAAGAAATAAATTAGAATTTCTTTAATTACATGATTCGCGAATGGCGGACGTTTCGGCCCTTTTTTTGGCCATCATCAGCGCAAATAGTACTAAATTAAACTATAAACGGTATACATAAAAAATCTTAATCAATTAAAGCGCAGAGTTACATGGTGACCAACGGTAGAAGGCGTGATCCCTCATGTCGTTCCATAAGCAAAACCATTCTCCATGTAGTCCATGTTATTTCGGGGCAGAAACCTCGATTCTTTAAGCATGAATCCACGAACATGATGATACGTTAATAATTGTGTCTGTAATTTGCGCGGAATGGTTTGTGTCAAAAAACGAAAAAAGAGAGAGGGTCCGTGTCGGAAATTACAGTAGTAAGACTTACATAAAAGAGACGCAACGCACAAGTCGACAGCAAAAATTTTTCAGCAACGCAAAATCTTAACTAAACTCACTAACTAACAACAGAGTAATGAGACGTATTGTTCGGCGAAAAAGGTGAGATGATAAAAACAAATGTTA